TCTCTCTCTCTCTCTCTCTCTCTCTCTCTCTCTCTCACACACACATGTTAAAATGCAGCACATCAATAATGATCTCAATGGGCTCCCCTATCACAACAATGGAACAAAAATCGATGCAGCATTTTTGGCAGCAAAGTGCTGTGTCCTAAAATGCAGGTGCACTGGTAAGGTGTGTTGGAGTGCTGTTTAATGCAATTTATTACTGTACATTATGTGCGTTATCGCAGTGCACTGGTGTGATCAGGCTCTAAAGCCCAACTTCCTGCAAATTTCATTTTTTTATTAAAATGTGGCCCTAGGCAGGGTACAAAGTAAAAAATGCTCAACTACAATGCAGAACTATCCCTATGCAGTACTTTTTTTTTTTTTTTTTACAAAAATTGTATTAATTTAAAGTACAAAACAGAGGTTCACAATAATATGACAAAACCAGTATAACCCCAATGGCTCTCTGCCGGCGACCTTTGCCAATTAACGTATCCTCTGCTGGACTTCTGGGGTGCCCTCCAACCGAGACATTTCCTGATCTCGATCCCAACCCTCAGCGGCTCTCCCGACCCTTGACTCCCTTTGAAAAGATCTGTAAGGAGGAGAACCCCACTCGCCATGCGATGTCCATACTATATTCCATGCTGAAAGTCCTTGACTAGGCACCTCCTAAATGCTGCCCGCCTCTGCATCCCATTGCTGTGGAAACAACCTAGCTGTCCCTCCGGAACACTGAGGAACTCTTCAGATCTACCTGGTGACCGTGGGCCGCTTTTCTAAAAAACACGGACGCCTACCTTCAGGTGATACTTACAACCTTCGCCTGAATCCTACTCAGCCGGGATCCTCGGGGCTCACTGTATGCATGCCAGACCCACAATCCCACTACTCTCAACCGAATCTCGCTCCTTTCCCTCTGGCCCCTCCCTCTCTACCTGTCACTGCTTATAACCTAGTGATTACCCCCCTTCCTTCTCGTCTTTCTCTTTGCTGCCATACTCGCATCATATCCCCTCTCGTTGCTTTACGTGAGGGGGAACACAGATCAATACACGCATTATCTACTCATAGCAGTTATTTCTATACTTGATTATGGACAGGACCGGAGTGGCACATTGTGCTTGCTTGACTCAGTGTTGCTTATGTTTGATGTCACTTACTGTTTACACTTTTTGTTGTACCAGACAGGGTTGTTCCGGCCCTACGATGACTGCAGTCTTATAACGGACAGCCCATTAATGCTATAGTACTTTAGATACAGTTGATGCAAACCTCTTACCCCATACGAGTGCTGGTGATGTTGTTACATAAATGAGGCGTTGCCTATTGTCCTACTGTATCTTGCATATGTACAATAAAGCTGATTTATGATTTAAAAAAACACACAAAAAAACAGGATAACAAAAAGGATAAACATGTAAATTGCTAGCATGCAACAATGCAAAAAAAAAAAAAAGGTTTCAAAGACGCATTTAATGATAATGATAAAAATCAAATAAACCAAGTCATTAAATACAGCTCAAAGAAAGTAAAAAAAAAACTCTTCCAGGTTTGGCCCCAACAATCTCCACATAACAGGGTGATTCAGAGGAACGATGTGGGCCCACCCAAGAAACGACCTTCCCAGAAAGATCTGATTCGCATATAAAAAGCTATGTTATGCAGGACATGAGGAAGATCAGGTTCTCAGCTTGTGCAACATTCGTACAATTTAAAAAAAAAAGAAGGGGAGATTCAAGGGATATGAGAGGAGTAGAGATGTAGCACAAGAGGGAAGAAGAGGTGACAGAAGGTATAAGAAAAAAGAGAAGAGAGATAAGATGCGCGGAGGGTGATCTAGATCCACATTCCCACTTCCTCAAAGTGAGAGCAAGGATTCTCTCTTTGAATTCAGGTTCAAGTGCTGATTTATATTCAAGCCATGGAGACCACGTTTTAAGAAACTTGGAAAGGGAATCGCTCAGTATGGCCAAACTCATTTAACCTCTCCAAACTACACCATGGGTTGTTTCCAAGCCTTAGCTATAGTTTGGCAAGCAGCCAAAAAGATGAAGGTGGTTACATAGTTAGTCAGGTTGAAAAAAGACACATGTCCGTCGAATTTAACCTATTGAGATAAGAGGAGAAAAACCTAAAACTGAACGCTATGCCCACGGTTACCCACTGTTGATCCAGAGGAAGGCAAAAAAAACCTCAATAAAGCATGGTTCAATTTGCTCCAAAGGGGGAAAAAATTCCTTTCTGATCCCATAGGCAATCAACTATTACCTGGATCAACAATCTCTGGTGCCTAATATACATATAAGAACTCAATATCCAGTGATCAATTGTCTATTAGACAGCTTTAAAACAGAGCTATTGAGTGTAGCCTCTCAAGGATTACAAGCTATATTACAAGATAAAATTGACCTAATTAAAATGTATACTCGTATCAAGAGTTTTTGTACTTTTGGGCATTGCCACCATATGTCGAAAAGTGAGCCTCAAGTTGCGCAGCCTCAGAAGCACAAAAGCTCGGGGCGAATTCGGAGATCGTAACAGACTTGACGCCATACCAGCAAAACAGCAGCTTCTTGTGCTAGAATGTTAGGAGAAAATTTGCCTGCAGCTGTCCATATCTTCCCCCAATCCCCCAGAGATTCGCCTAGGTCATCTTCCGATTTGCGCCGCACACAGTACAACTTTGAATAAAGATGTAATCAGCACACCAGCACGACAGAATCTAAGTCAGTGCAAATCCATTTATTGATAGATATCACTCAAAATATCAAGCGCTTTCGGGGCCGCACAGGGTCCCCTTCATCAGGCTCCTCAGATAAAGGGGACCCTATGTGGCCACAAAAGCGCTTGATATTTTGGGTGACATCTATCAATAAATGGATTTGCATTGACTTCGATTCTGCCGTGCTGGTGTGCTGATGACATCTTTATTCAAAGTTAAACTGCCAAGCCAAACACAATTGCTGTTTTTGATACAATCAACCATCTGTAAAAATTCTGTTCATATGTCATTCTAAGTATGACATTTCCGTTAAACAGTTATGCCAATTCCTACATATGTTTATAACAAGTTATTGTAAATAATGATAGAAAATACATTCATATAAAAAATATAAAGGGTATTTACTGTACCTGCTAAGCTGCCAGGTCTTTGCAATGTAGCTGTGGCATACAGTTCTTGTGTATGCTTATTGTATTGATCAGAAGAAAGAACTAGACGTTTTGTAGGTGATAGTGTAGCATATGTACCAATGGTTGAGCTCAACTGATGCAAAGGTGAAGAGGTTATATTAGACTGAATGGTTGGAGGAGAGGTTACACGCACCGATGAAGGAGATAGTCCAGCAGATGATACTACTATGTTGATAGGTGAACTGGTGCTGTAGGATTTGGCAAGACGACTAGGAGACTGTTTTGGAGAAGAAACCCTTTGTGTGGTGCTGTAGCCGGTACTCTCGGAAGAAGAACCCACCCTTTGGAGTTTTGTTGGAGAACCTATTTGCTGCATTGACAAAGGAGAGCTTACTCTCTGTGCCGGTAAAGTTGAACTTGAATAAAAAATTGCTGAAGAATGCTGGGAATCAGGCAAATGAAAAGCACTCCCATGGCTTGGCACAAAGTCTCTTGACTGAGAGGCAGAATGTGATTGGGAAGTTTCAGATCCAGATGAATGAGTTACTCTATTTGTACCCTGTAGTGAAAAAAGGACTTTTAACAAAACTGCTAAATAATGATTTGAAAATACAAAGTTTGCGATGCAGAGTGAAAACAAGGTAGCAGTAAAAGCAGATAACAGCAAACTCCTTAAATTAAAACCAATATAAAATATGAGGGGAAGTGATGTTATTTTATATTGCTATAGATTTAACAATGTAAACCATAGACAAACACCTGTATATCTGACAATGTAGATGCATTAAGAAATCATGGCTATACCAATATACTGAAAACTAGTAGTGGAAAAAGATCTTTAGAAATATGTGTACTATTAACTAAAAAAAACAGTGGCTTGCAAAAGTATCCCCCCCCCCCTTGGCATTTTTCCTGTTTTGTTGCTTTACCACCTGGAATTAAAATTGATTTTTATTTGGATTACATGTAATGGACATACGCAAAATAATAAAGAATAAAAAAAAACGGAAAAGTGGTGTGTGCGCCTATGTATTCACCCCTTTTGCTATGAAACCCCTACGATAAGATATGAAGGTGATTGGTTGCACCATAAGTCCAGGGCCGTCTTTAATAGTGATTGGACCCTGGGCAAACATTTTCTTGGGCCCCTGCCATGCAATATTGCACGCTACATGCTGACAGCACACAGCCGTGCTGCAGCTGGGAATGATCCTGACAATATTGTTGGGATCCACCCCGCTACCTGATTGATAGCTAACTCTGCCTCTCTAGATCCAGAGTCAGCTGTGCCCGCCCCCTCCCCCATCTGTCCCTCCAATGAGCACTGGAGGAACCGAGAGGGGAGGGGGGAATGACTGTGACTGACAGGGAGAATAATCGGGAACTCCGCGATCAGAGGTCTGTGATCACTTAGGTCCCTATGTATAGAGCTGATGTGTGACAGTTTCTGAGTCATCACACATCATGTCAGCAGTCTCTGATCAGCTTCTGTAACATGGCATCAGTCTCTGATCATCTCCTGTAACATGTCATCAGTCTCTCATCATCTCCTGTAACATGTCAGCAGTCTCTGAGCATCTCCTATAACATGTCAGAAGCCTCTGATCGTCTCCTATAACATGTCAGCAGTCTCTGATCATCTTCTGTAACATGTCATCAGTCTCTGATCATCTCCTGTAACATGTCATCAGTCTCTGATCATCTCCTGTAACATGTCATCAGTCTCTGATCATCTCCTGTAACATGTCAGAAGTTTCTGATCATCTCCTGTAACATGTCAGAAGTTTCTGATCATCTCCTATAACATGTCTGCAGTCTATGATCATCTTCTGTAACATGTCATCAGTCTCTGATGGTCTCCTGTAATATGTCAGTGGTCTCTGATGATCTCCTGTAATATGTGAGTGGTCTCTGATGATCTCCTGTAATATGTCAGTGGTCTCTGATCATCTCCTGTAATATGTCAGTGGTCTCTCATGATCTCCTGTTAATATGTCAGTGGTCTCTGATGATCTCCTGTAATATGTCAGTGGTCTCTGATGATCTCCTGTAATATGTCAGTGGTCTCTGATGATCTCCTGAGATTTGTCACACTGAATTTGGAAAGCACAGTTAATATGTCAGTGGTCTCTGATGATCTCCTGTAATATGTCAGTGGTCTCTGATGATCTCCTGTAATATGTCAGTGGTCTCTGATGATCTCCTGAGATTACAGTCACTGAATTTGGAAAGCACAGTTCTGGCTTCCCCTCATCAGGAAATTGGGGTGAAAAGGAGTGATGTATACACATCTCTGCCCCCCCTTGTACTATGCCCCCCCCCCCATGTGATCTCGGTGTGGGGGGACACAGATCATCATCTAGGCTCCATGTCTATACAATGACTCATCACCAGCTGGGACACACTGAAGACAGCAGTATCTTGCTCTGGTCGGCTTGGCCTTTGTTGCTGGGCTTTGTAGCTCTCTGGTGAGCTGCAGCCTCCCCATGAAGAGAGAGAGAGATCTGACCTTGTGATATGTCTGCTCTGTGTGCCGTTCCTGCTGCATGTGATCTCTGCACCATGTTCTCCTCGTCAGTGGAAAGTGAAACTGAAAGCAAGGTGGGCAGCTGACAGAAACTCCTTAGGCTGCTCTGCTCCTGCTGACTGCCTCACTCGTATGGTCCCTGGAAAGAGCCGCCCAGCCTCCCGGTTGTTATGCCACTGACTGGCACTTCTGCTAGTCGATACTGCGCCCGGTGACAGTACACCCTAGGCGGCTACTTTGTTTCCCTCACAGGGCCCCAGAGCAATGACTGGGCCCGGGGCAACTGCCCTTTTTGCCCTGCCTTAAAGACGGCCCTGCATAAGTCACATAATTAGTTAACTAAAGACCACCTGTTTGCAATCTAAGTGTAACATGATCTCAGTATGTATGCACCTGTTCTGAAATTCCCCAAAGTCTGCAACACCACTGAGCAAGGGGCACCACCAAGCAAGCGGCACCATGAAGATCAAGGAGCTCTCTAAACAGGGTTTGGTTATAAAAAAATATTCAAAACGTTAGACATCCCACAGGGCACCATTAAATCCATTATTAAATGATGGAAAGAATATGCCACCACAACAAACCTGTCAAGAGAGAGCTGCCCACCAAAACTCATGGACCAGGCAAGGAGGGCATTAATCAGAGAAGCAACAAAGAGACCAAAGATAACCGAGGGAGCCACAAAGCTGTCCTTAGGACCACTTTAAGCCGTACACTCCACAAGGCTGGCCTTCATGGAAGCATCATGTTGTGGGGATAAAGGGTAATTCTTGAGGGAAACCTGTTTCAGTCTGGCCAGAGACTGGCACGGAGGTTGACCTTCCAGCAGGACAATTACCCTAAGCATACTGCTAAAGCAACACTCAAGTTGCTTATGGGAAAACATTTAAATGGCTTGGAACTAAATGGCCTAGTCAGAGCCCAGATCTCAATTCAATTGTCCCAGTGGCCAGATATGCCAAGCTTATAGAGACTTACCCCAAGAGACTTGCAGCTGTAATTGTAATTGCTGCAAGAGGTGGCTCTACAAAGTATTGACTTTGGGGGGTGAATAGTTATGCACGCTCAGGTTTTCTTGGGAGTTTTGTGTCTTATTTCTTGTTATTATCACAATAAAAAATATTTTGCATCTTCAAAGTGGTAGGCATGTTTTGTGAATCAAATGATACAAACCCCAAGGGTGGTGAATACTTTTGTAAGCTACTGTAGCCTGTACTTTTACCACAAAGAGATATTAATATCTCTATATACTGTATAATTACATACACATTTCAGTGTTACCTGTTTTTTTTTTAAATGTTATAAATGCACATATTATTATAGACTTTGATTTATATATGGTCTTTAAAGTAATATAGAGCCAGAATCATAGTCATATTATGTGGTCCCAGCTCAGTGCCACATCACCAGAACAACAAGGCTGTTATGTTGCAGAAGCCAAAGAAACATCATACTGTATTTTCAGATACACAGAGATACCAGGCTGCAAAAAACAGAATAATGCTATGCTACCAGAGATACAGCAGGGCCATGTTCCTAGAGACAGAGTACCTTTTACCAGTGTTAGTGAAGATGTGTTACCAGAGACAGTGTTGCAATATTACTAGAGTCTGTGAAACTATGTTACCAAAAACAGTATATTCACATTCCCCATTCCATTGAAGCCAAACAGACAGCATGATCAAGTATCTTTGCAAACCCAGTTACTGCCTTGTATACGTAGCAGCAACATTATCACTGTGCTGTACATATTCTGTGCAGAGAGCAGAGCTGTGGGAGGGACCCAGCAGTTCTGGAAGAAATACTTAAAGCAAACCAAGTAAGAGTTACTAATGCCACCTCTGCACCTAATTTAGGCTAAGCAAGAACAGATCATGCTTGATACACTTCTTTCCTGGCAACAGCTGCCAGGGAATCACAACTCTGAAACTGGAAACGATTAAAAGCTTGCCACTTCCGGATTCATTCACTGCAGGAACAATCAGCAAACAGATGTTCTCCTTGCTGACACCCACCATGGACATCCTGATTGCCCTGGAGGGGCAGCAGTGCTCGGGATACATAGTGGGAGCAGTGAGGAAGGAATGAGGGGCAGCCACCCAAATTGCTTCTAACAGAAAGCTGAAAGTCTGCAGAAGAAATACAAAAAACGAAGTGCTGGCTGCTATAGCAACAGAGAGTCTGTTTACAGGCACAAGCCTCACATTAGTGGCAGGAAGAGGGTTAACTTCAGGTGGCTGGACTATTTTTGCTATTTTTTGTCTATCATGTGTTACTATTTTTTTAGCTGTAAATGTTTGTAAAATACCCTCCAAACCATACATTTTCTAAAATAGCAGGACCTGTAAAATAAAAAGACGGGGCTGCTGATTTTGTACAATGTTTGCGAAAATGTTTATCAAAACAATGTTTTCTATACAAAATACACTAAAGTCATTATTATTGCACACAAACACAGCATAACCAACACCATTTCTACTAAATCTAAAAGATAAAACTGTTTTGAGTTACTATAGAATCGCAGCCGACCCGCCGAGGCAGAGCCTGCATGCGCTCGATGGCCACCCAGGGGAGACTACCAGGATCCATCACCATCCAGCACGTCGCCCTGGTGACACTTGCTAGCAGATCACACAAAAAAAAAACAGAAGAGGGAAAAGAAAATTTCCAGAGAGAAATTTTTTTAGCTCCTTACTCCTGACGCTAGGCAAAAAACTGGAGACTTGTCAGCAGGTGGGGGGTTGGGCCACCAGCAGGGGCCGCCCCTAGGCTGTCTAAGTCTTTTTTTGTTATGTGCCTAGCGTCCTACTCCTGCAGGTGGCGATATACCCTACCTTTCAGGATCTCCGATCTGTTGCCCTGTGTCCTTCAATGAACGGGAGAGAAATTTGTAAATTTTAAATTGTGCATTCTTGTGAAGCAGTGAAAATCTCTAAATCACATGCAACAGTAAAGAAGCAACTTATGCTAAATATCTGGAAGTTGGCTTCAAGTTAACTTATGCATTGTTGAGAAGCCCGATCCACAGTGCCGTTTGTGCACTGCGTTGGTGTGCATTGCGATTAGAATGATGAGGTATACATTTTCTTGTAATGCAGTGCAGTGCAACACACATTCCAATGTGCTGTTGAGCATAGAGTTGAACAAAAAAAGCACTATGATGCAATGTAACATGCACGTCCACTGGTCTAAAAGGGACCTTAGTGTGTTGGCGCACCACCACACGTAAGGTGCATTAACACAATGTGGACCTTAGACTGCTGGTGTGGAGGGTGAGCGAGGCTGAAGGAAATGGTCTAATAGCCAGTCAGGATCGTGGCTCGGGTACGTATAAGGCCCCATTCACACATGGGTGCTTCATGAATATGTGTCAACTGCGCACAAAAGTGCGTGCTTTGATGTGCATTCACGAGACGTGCACAAAAGTGTTGTGTGGTGCTTACTAGGTAATGGCACCCCAAAGGCGGCCAAGCAAACTTAGTTCTAACACACGGGTAAAAAACATGGAGCGCATTGCCAAATTTGCAGCATGTATTTCTTTCCTACATTTGGCGCACTTCCAGAGAGCTTAATGGGGATCAATGGGGATGCACACCAAACTCAAGAAACAAACACACGCATCCCCGTGGGCATGCACGTCACAACGACCATGGCACTCTAGACAAAATAAGCACTTATTCCTTGCAGTTCTTCTTTAAGCACAGTGTCCCTCACTAAACAGTACACCACTGTCATTTACCTGGAACGCTTGTCTGTAGGGCTAAAAAAGCCTAGACACGCGTCCCAACAGGGCCTTACATACACTGCCCCAGCAGTATCTGCCTTAACAGAATCCCTCATTAAGAGCAAACTACTATTGTGGGCAACACCCACAACCTCGCGCTACCTGTTCCGATAGCTGAAGGACCCATTCACTGCAACAACCATCTCTCCTGGTGTTAGAACTGTTTTGAGCATTGTTGCCTCTGGTTAATGTGATATGAATTTATAACTTAGAATTGTTAAAATGATTAAATAGTGTATGACCTAAAGAAATTTTTTTAATTAGTTACAGTTTAAAAAAAAATCTACTTACTTGGTTATAGCTCTGAATGGCTGATCTGGCTTGATTGCTGCGGCTCGGAAACTGTAATGCTGATGTTTCCCCCAAAGCAAGGGTCTGGTTGCTATGGTAGCTTGATGAATACTGGAATGACCCTTCAGGTTTAGAACTGAGCTGAAGTGCACTCTGGGATAGCAGGCTGGGCCCTGAGTTAGGAGAAGTAGAACATGTTCTTAGTGAAGCAGAAAAAATAACTAGATTCTAAAAGGAAAGCCTGGCTTTGCTGAGCACCAAGTGTTAACTTCCATGCAGTTGGTTCATACAGATTTAGAAAGCATAACATTCATATGACATGTCACAGACATCATTATTATACCACTTTCTGTATTATAGTATGTTTATTAGTTAAAAAACATGTAAATAGTTTAATGTGTCATAAACAAAATACAAAATTTAATTGTTGATGTAGAATGTTGTCTTTGTTTAAGATATCTAATATATACTGTATATTGTTGTCCATATTTACCGTAATTTTCCTTTCTCAGCTCTCCCCATGTCAGCATACCACAGGTTAGCTCCGTACTCAACCCCAAGTAGGACCACCCTCACTAGATGATAAATTCCCCCTGCTTTACTCACCATGTGTTTCATAACACACCGAGCGAAGGCACTGAAAAAAGGGGGGAAACTATGCTGACTTGGGGCAGAGCCAGGAAAGGAAAGTTACGGTAAATATGGACAACAATTTTCCTTATTCCCGGCTCACCCCATGTCAGCATACAACAGGAAGTAGCTAGCCACAGAAAACATGGGAGGGTTTATAATGCAAAATGTATTATTATTATTGAGAATATGCAGCAGAAAGCACAGCAACTCCAATAGAACAATCTGAAGAAGAGGAACCGTCCACCCTATAATGTCGGATGAATGAATTAGGAGAGGACCAGCTGGCTGCCTTGCATACAATCTCCACTGGAACACTCCACAGGAGGTAGCCACCGATCTGGTCGAGTGAGCCTTAACTTCCAGAAGAGGGGGAAGGCCCGCTGAAGCATAAGCAATTTGAAACGTCTTAACCACCCATGAGGAAAACAATCTGGTAGAAGCAGCTGCCCCTTTCTTTGGACCTTTTGAAAGCACAAACAATTTGTCAGAAGTGTGGAACTCCTTGGATCTAGCAATGTAGGTAGATAACACATCCACTGCATCTACTCGTTTAGTCTCAAATAGGCTACTAAAGCCACGAAGATCTTGGTGAACGTTCTTGGAGTGGATGACAGGCCAAACGGCAGGCATCGAAACTGAAAATGATCCTGACCCACCATGAACCTGTGAAACCTCTGGGTTTCCATTGCTATTGGTATGTGAAAGTACGCATCTGCCAGATCTACTGACAACATCCAATCTTTCAACCTCACAACATTCTTTATTATTCTGAGGGATTCCATTCGGAAATGTTCTATCTTGATAAACTTGTTTAACCTCTTTAGGTCTAAAATTGGCCTGAACTTCCCTGAATACTTTTAGACCATAAAAAGAGGTGAGCAGACTCCGGTTCCTTGCTGCAGAGCTGGGACCGGAATTACCGCTCTTGAATGCAGCAATTGCTGAATTGCTGCATTCAATCGCTGTCCCCATAAAAAATCCTGTGGAAGGGAAGAAAATTTTAACTTGTAACCCTTCTGAATGACCCTTATCACCAATGCGTCCGGGATATTGTCCGCCCAAATCCATCCCTAACAGGCTAATCTTGCGCCTACTGTAGGTGGAAGGGCGGGCCGTATTTCAGAATGTCTTAGTGGGAAGACGGCTGGTCGGACAAAAACCCTAAACTTCAGGAAGGCTAACTTTGATAAGCTGCGCCAGCTCATGGGTGAAATCAATATATTATTACCCAATTTCTTGGTAAAATATAAAAGACGAGGTCACGTCAGGTAAATAGACACCAAACATGTGAAGCCTTAAAATTGCCCGCGCCTGCGAAAATGCAAAAAAACTACCATACCCAAAATTGGCCATAGGCGGCGCTTTAAAAGATTTTACCACTCATCAGTTTAGTGTTATCAGTGATTGATGGCCCCAGAATTATTTCTCCCACTGCGACATTCGCGGTGATATGCAACAAGTGCTGAGTAATTGGTGCATTAGTCGTTTTTGCGTGTAGGCATACCTAACGCATTTTTGCGCATCTATGTGGTGTTGGGGGGACTTTTACAATTTTTTGTGGGTTTTTTTGTGTGTAAATCTTATTTATTTTGTGAACAATTTTTTTTTTTTACTTTTTTTTTTTACACTTAACTTTATTGTTATCAAATAGGAGGATAAGAATCCCCCTATGTGATATCAAATTACAGTGACAGGTCCCCTTTATGGAGACATCAGGGGTCCCCCAATGTCACCTAGGGACCCCTAGAGAAGCTGATGAAGCACATGTCTGCTTCATCAGCTTCTCTCTGGTTTCTGTACCGGAGAGTAACAGAGGAATGCAGAAGTGATGTAGTATACAGCACTACCTGTATTCAGGGACTGGGGGGCAGAGTGGAGGGAGATCGTGTACTGAATCCCTCCATTCTCAGTGCATGAAGCCACGTCGCTCATCCCGGATCAGACACCCGGGAATGCGAGGACGGCACCGACGAGGAGAGGTAAGGAGGGGGGGGGGCGCACAGAGATGTGGCAGAGTGGCATTATCCCTAAGCACACAAACACACAGCCACAGCAAATCAAGCTATTCCCTCCGCCCAGGCCCCCTTTCCTCCCTCCTCCAAGCTAGTAGATGAACAGTTGCTAGATTCTGCTCTGTCTTTTGTGATCTTGTACTGGACAGGAAGTTCAGGGAAGTTGAGAGAATGGGAAGCAGCTGTTCAGAAACATGATGATTGTAAGTGTTTGGGCAAAAATTTAAAGCAATGCTTTGCTGGGGACTGTATATTTGCTTGATCTAGATTCATAATTGAAAAAAGTTTGAGAGCTTAATACTACTTTAATGGCACACACTGTCACACTGAGTTGTCCACATGGCTATAAATGCTGGGGCATGTTGCCTATCCTTATTTGTACTGAAAAAGCCACTTGAATATGTGGCAAAACATTCAACATTACAGAATCAGTCCAGTTAAATACAACTACTACTAGTTATACCATGAGAAGAATAAATGACGACTTTCAGAGACTCATTGTACAATTAATTTAAATGACTTTGTTACCTAGGGTTAAGGAATATCATGTATTGACTACTTTAGTTATATACTGTATATTGAGTCTACACATGTATGACCATTTTACATGATCTCAGCATACACCAGCTTTGATGAAACTACATGTTTATGTAAAACTGATGATCTTGCTGTCACTGCAAACTCAAAGCTAGGTAAAGTCGAACCACACTTATACCCTGTTTCCCCGAAAATAAGACCTACCCTGAAAATAAGACCTAGTACTATGTTTGGGAATTGCTAAAATATAAGACCTACCCCGAAAATAAGACCTAGCTGTGACCATTCCCAGGGCTGGTGGTGGCATAAGATGGAACTTGAAGAGCTGCGGGAGAGAATTCAGCGGTGCCAACGAAGCCAGATATAGAGGAAGCAAGGCGGCACTGGAGGGAGCAGAGCCGCATAAGCCAATGCCAACTCCTGTCACAGGCGGAGTGATACCAAATGCACTCTGCCTGTGAGGAATCGATAGTGAAAGTGCGCTTCGCTCATTCTGGCCAGCGATTGGTTAGCAAATTGCTCTTGGAAAGGTACGGCACCACTGATCACCATATTTGTGTACATGAATACATGTAGACTGTTGTATATAAATAAGTGTGGATTGTTGTACATAAAAAAATAATTAAGACCTACCCCGAAAATAAGACCTAGTGTGTTTTTTTGAGCCTAGAAAAATATAAGACAGTGTCTTATTTTCGGGGAAACACGGTATCTCCAGCAGTTTAGCAGGACTAAAGCATATTTTGTTTTTTAAAGTGTCTGGCCTGTGCTATTTTAGGGTCATGGCATAAATAGAAGGTGGTAAATCCTTAAATGAGTCTCACCAGTAAGATAATTTGTTCCTCCTCTCCCTCAGGGAGAAAAATGCCTGTAACATTTTGTCCCTTTCAATACATACTGTCTTTAGGATATAAAATCCATTTCTGTTTCTGCTGGCTGTCAGATCCAAGTTAAAGCACAGTTTCTTGGGCATTCCTAAGGGGAGCTAAAAGCATAGTACTAGGCACCGTCCCCTCTTCCTTCTCCCCATAAACTAGCACACCCTTCTCCCCTTTCATGAGCTAGCTCAGTACTAGACAATGCCCCCTCTTCTTTCTCCCCATTCATAAGACCAGCATAGCACCAGCCCCTATTACTAAGAGATGAAGGTGTATACTGAGAATGGGCTCTAGTCAGAGATCACAGTGAGAGACTAGCTGGTGGCTTGTGTTACTGTAAATGACAGCGCTCATATCCAGCACGTGCCTGCTGCCAGAGACCAGTGCTGTCACTTTACCCTCTCCTTGCTGTCAGTCAGACCTCATTTGACATTCATCTTCTTGTGACCAACGTGGTTGGATAGCGGTGGAGGGAAGGGGGGGGGGGCACTGAACCAATCTAGCTCAGCATCCAAAGCAGCTATCAAAACGAGACAAAGTTCTACATGTACTATGTCCCCTGGGAGACAGGAAGAATTAAAGTTGTTTCTGGTGGGACTTTTTTAAAGCATAGCCAAACCCAAAAATAGAAATTTTATATATTGCAACCTACCAGTCTTTGATGAAGTGCCTACATTAGTTTCCCTTCTTCAGGCTTTTTTTTGTCATTTAATCCTGTGACTAACACAATTCCTGTCCCTGGGGGGCTATGCTTACTGAACCTATGGAGGGAGCAATGGTTGCCACCCAGGCTGGTCTTCAACCTTTGATGATTGTGCACTGCATGACAAAAACGGGAAAAATTGGGTCCTGACTTTTTATTGGGGAACAACCTACATGCTAAAGAAGGTTTGCAACTAAATAAATAGGATGGCTGGAGCAGCACATAAATCCCTACTGTAGCTTCTATGTTAACCCATGTCCAATAAACTAGAATTGACCATGTCTTTCTTTCCTCAGTAGTGGTACCCAAGCTTTTGACCAGCATAATTCTGACTGCCGTATGCTCAGACCATGATCCTATTTTGGTATAATGGGAAATCTTTCAGGCATTTGTGGGAACCCTACACAATTCCACTGGCAATTAAATAAATCCCTCTTAGGGAATCAAGTATACTGCTTTGACCAGGCCCGGATGCCCCACAAGGCCACTAGGCCCAGCCTCGGGGCGGCAGGGAGCAGAGGGGTGGAATCCCCCGACGCCCGGAATTGTAGGTCAAGCGGTAAGTTGCGCTTTCTACATTTAGTCCTGCTATGGAAGGGCAGGACTAAATGTAGTGTGGGGAAGCCGCTTGTACGTTTACAAGTGATCGCCGCAAATGTGTGCAGCCTGTCCGATGCA